TGTGTGTGTGTGTGTGTGTGTAGGCTCTAATGTCCGTATTCAAGCTTTGTTGTTTCATCTCAGAGTGGCTGTGTTCGTGTTGGTGTGCACACAAACTCGCAACGTGTACCGGCACTGCAGAATAAGCAAAGGATGTGGTTGAAGATTGTTCTGGTGAAGGATTCTATTTGCAGGGGTGTGTTTATCCTCTCTGCCCATAGGAGATCCTGCAGGCTTCTCCACATGTGACCACAGAGAGACCAAAACACTGGCACTTTATCAAGTTTGTGTAACCTGCCTCTAGTTTTACAGTTTTCTTAGCTGGAACTCAGAGTTTAAAACTGCAATTTCGTACTTGCTGTGTGATGTTGTACTACAGTGATAATGCTGACGTTAAACAGGTGTGGAGTGTTTATTTCATCCAACAGCTGTAACTTTTGGCCATTTTGCTAATGTCTGGTCATGAACCCAATAATTTCACAAAATTAAGTTTTGTTATTATAGTTCTGTACTAAATATCATGGCAGCATATACACATTTAAGATATTCCTTCAAACCATGCATGTCAAACACAGGAGACCAAAGTCTTAAAATTCATCCTCTTGGCATCTTGAAAAACTGAACTGGATTTCATAGTAAGACGTTGGGTTCAAGTTATTTCAGGACAAAAACATTTTACCCACACCAGGGCAGTAGAGTAAAACAAAGGTAGAGGCTTCAACCTCTGGTGGACATGAACGTCTTAAAAAGAATTATATAGGCAAAAGTTTAACCACTTGACCAATCGTGAGTCTCGCAGCTGACTGCAGGTCAGTGGGGGAGTGAGGAGGGAGAACATGCTGCAGTGTAATACAGCATGGAACGTAGTGGACAGCTTGTGAATGCAATTAACCAACATGAGCAAAAACTACGTCTTAAATGTCTGTCTCGATACATTTTGTCAGTTAAGTAAGTAAGTTTTGTGTCATGTCATATGTGCCACCTTGGTTCAATTGCATTGAAACATGCTCTGCTCATGCTCTTGCTCAGTGACTGAGTTGTCTCACTCTTTATTTGTCCTAACACCTACTAACCACAAGTTCGCACCTGTTCTGTTGGCGCTGCCCTGCAGGAAATGTAGTACATTGCTTTTAAACAAACAAACCAGTATGTGTGAGAGAGGAAGCACTAGAAACAAAAAATATGTAATTTCAAAGACTCATTTGCTTTGGACACATGAGATAATCTAAAGGAGGATGTGGGACAGTGTGTGTGTGTGTTCCCTGCCAGCTGCCAGTGTTGAATGTCTCTCAGCTTGTTAGACCCGGCGTTAACCAGAAGTCTGAGTATCGGCTCCAGGCACACGTGTGATGGAACGGATTATTGTTTTAGCTAACGGCTCTATGGCAGGAGAGGGAAGCCTCTCTTAATTCTTAGCCATGAATCACAGAGTGATTCACAGCTGAGAACGACAGGGAGCTCCTTGCTCAGTACATCTCCGCAGAGCCACATGCCAGTTGTTCAATTATCCAGTAAAAGTTGCTCATCAACTTCCCCTTGGCCAAAACAACATATACACTACAACCTGACGAGAGTGTCGTATGTCTTAAACTTATGAGACGTTTATTCATATGAAAACTCAGCTCACTGAACCTAATAATAGAAGTGAAAGGACATCTTATTTATTCCAACTTGCAGTGACATGGTGAGGCAGGAAAACCCCTTTCACTCTCCAGGTTTCGTCCTAAACCCATTTACCAGCAAACAATAGGATGTGTAGCGGCTGTGGGTTTCTGTTGTTTGGATTTGTGGGTATCTCAGAGATTCGATCTCTCTGTCTCTTAATAGACAGACCTGTTGTTCTCAGACCTCTTATTCCTCATGAGAAGTGTGATCAAAACAATGTACTCCTTCTCAACAGCTAGTAATAGCATCCCTTTGTGTTCTGTCCATCTGTGTTCATGAAGGGAAAACCAGTGTCTGAGTGCAACTTTACTTCTGAGGTTCCCAGCACCATCTTGTGGTGTTTAAACATTATTGCATTCCTCCTCCTGTCGAAATACTGCTGCATTGTGACATCAACGGAGGCTCCAGTGGCGCAATCGGTCAGCGCGCGGTACTTATAGACAGTAACCTGCAGAGTGATGCCGAGGTTGTGAGTTCGAGCCTCACCTGGAGCAGTGAAATTTTGAGCTTGACTGTGAATCATAGAACAAAATCTTTAAAAAATGTATCCATACGAATCACAGCAAACAGATTAATTTAAACTGCCTTTATGAATTAGGCATGATAAGCAATCTAGTACATTTAAATGTGCAGTGTGTACGGGGACTTTTGGACCTTGGTGGAGCTATGCACTCTGCTGAGTATCATTCTTTATATTCCTATTTGTATGAATTTCCTTGTGTGGTTGGAGAGTTTTCCAAATAGAATCAGAAACAGGGGTTATTGCCAGGTAGGTTTACACATACAAGCATTAACATTTAAAATATATACAAATAGGAAACACAATAAAATATGAAAATGTTATAAACACTAGAAAAGGGTTTGTGCAATATGTTGTAAACTCAAGAAAATGATCTGTTTTTTTAAACATATTACCAACTCCATCTTGTGCCTTTTATATGATAAAAAACATTTTGAGAGAAAGCGCCATGGCTGAGCCCCTGTGTTCCGGTCTGGTGGGTTGAGGTTGGGGGCAGAGGCGGGGCTACATTAGCATATTCATAGATCCCAGGCACGAAATGAGGAAGGAAGGTGAAGAGTAATATTTAAGCCTTTTTAAAGCCTTGAGGGGAATATTTATTACGAACCTTTTGAATATGTACGTTTTAGGAACAATGAAGAGTCTTAGGGGCTGTGATAAGCTACTTTAGAGGGACTTTAATATATGCAGGCATGTGTCTGCTCCCTCTTTATCTGTCTCGGCCTCTGCACCATCGAGAGAAATGGATTAGTTGATTAATGTAATTTTGCCCAATGTCTGGAATTACTCAACAGAGCTGCTCAGTTTTGGTTTCTGGCTTTTGACAGTCAGGACAACATTTCTTTGAATTGTCCGACAAACCTGTTGCTTTGTTTGTGTGTGCAGCTGGCAGGGGTAGGTAGAGGCAGCGAGCATGGATGAGCCGGGCAGCAGAAACAGCAGCCTGCAGAGGAAGAAGCCACCGTGGCTCAAACTGGACATCCCCACCATTCAGCTCACACCAGATGACTCATCCACCGACATTCAGGTAAAAACAACAACAAATCTGTGGTTTAGAAGAGGAGAATGACTACCAACATCAGAAATGTAAGTGTGGGGGTCTGCGTCAATATCTGTGTTGTGTGTTGCAGCCAGTCAAGCGCCTGCGCAGTGTCAGCATGCCAGGGGAAAACCCTCAGACCTGCATTGCTGCCCTGGAGACTTCAAACAACTACCTCAGACCTCCTCTGCAGAGACAGCCCTCCATCACACAGTCTATTAAGAGGTTAGGACACACACACACACACACACACACACACACACACACACACACACACAAAGAGAGACACATTCACAAGGCTTTCTCTTCTTTCCTCTCTGCTGCTTTTGTCCACCTGACAATTTCCTATGATTTCTGCATGTCCTATCTATTCAATAATTGTCTGCATTCAATCTTTAACTAATTTAATCTGCGTTCTCCTTTCTGATTTAACACTAACTAATCTTTGGCTATCTCTTTTTCCTCCCTTTTCTTTTCTTTTCCATGTCTGTATTTGCCCTTCCCCACTGCCTCCCTGTCTCCTCCTCTTCTTGCTACGATGCGTGTTAAGTGGAAAAAGGGTGCGCTTTGAGCGCGTCAACACGGTGCCCCCAAAGGGCCAGAGGAGCCCCAGGAGGGTGTCAACCGATCGAAGGCGGTCCTGCATCCCCAAAATACTGACCCGACGGCGTTCATCTATACCCAAACAGATCATCAGGTACAGGAGAGGTGGAGGGGGTTGAAGGGGTTTTGCTTCTGCACTGAAGTTCTTAAAAAGTGTGTTCTCCTTTAATTCAATGCTCTGAATGAAACTGTATATACGAAACTAACCAGTTGGCCAGAAACACATTATGAAATGTCGGCTAATGTGGCTCTTTGACTGTTATGGCTCATTTATGCTGCCATATGTAAATTTTAGAAGACGTGCACAAATACAGATGAAATTAATGCAGACTACGGAGAGAAGGCTCTGTTCATTTCCATACACATCTAACGTTGAACATAAGTGGGCAAAGGGGCAACTCTGAGCAAACAAGTTCGGCAAATTAACTTTAACATTTTTTTACATCCACGTTTTTCCACCTTTTGTATTGAGTGAGTTTTCTGCACACCGAGTTCACCCCTTGGCTCTCTCCTGTCTTTGTGCCCCAGCTCTGAACGCTTTGAAAAGAGTCACATGAAGAATGCACACAAGCAGCGTATCAGTGTCAGTCCAGGTGACACACAGCACCACATGCTTTGAAGCAGACAAAATAACACAATTACTCACACAGGCCATTTATGTACCTCACGGAGCATGTGGGCCACATCAAAGCGGACACTCGCACCGCGTTTAATTGTAAATGTTTGAACGCTGGGCCAAGACTAAAACCTGGAGCCACTCTCCTCAAAGGAACGCTTTGACGTCTTAAACTTTATCATGCCAAGGTTTATTATCCTTGTATGTGAGAGCGAGGGAGACTGAATGCGTTTGATGTGTGTGGGAGAATTAATAGGATCGAGGGAAGGTATTGTGTGTGTACATAAGTTCCCGGAGGTTAGCTGAGGTACCTCCTCCTCAGAAACGTTCGTGAATACTGGATAAATGTTTGACCTTTCAAACAACGTGTTCGTCAGTGTGTGATTTGCTACAAACCGCTGACTTGTAGGGTAACAGGGAGGGCGCTGGGGTCCTTGTTCATGCGGAGGACAACAGGAAACTGTTTATGAGTCATGCTAAGGAGCCATAAATTCGGACAGAGTTAGACTCACAGAGTTCATCTCACAGTGATACTCGTAATGATAGATGAAGTTCACAGTTAACTGGAAATTCTTTTGACTCCTGCCACAAATATCCTGGCTGCAGAAGAGCTGTGGTTCACACTATGGGCTGTGTCTTGGAGGAGCTAACCCTTTGTAGTATCCCTGCTCCATCGTGTGTGTGTGTGTGTTTGGTTGTGTGTGCCTGCATGTGTGTGTGTGTGTGTCATGTTCAGGCATGTCCCAGTGCCCTTCCTCCTCCATCCCTCCTTCCTCCTAATGTGCATGTGTGTATGATGTTCCATCCTTCTTCTCTCCCTCCCTTTAATCTCCCATTTCCTGTGGAGTGCTGGTATGTTGGAGGGAGAACTTGTGTTTACACGCACACACACACACACAGTAAAACAAGTTAGAGAGAGAGAAGGACCTCACTCATAGTGATCGCGGGGGCTGTGGATGGGGGGATATTCAGTTTGACAAGGACCAGAGTCGCTGTCTTCTTTGCCCAGTGGGTCACATCCTTTTATGCAAGCTCCAGAGGATGGATACTGGAAGGCCGGCCAGACTCTGACATATTTACACACTCGCTCACACATGAACAGTCTTGTGGAAACTTCTGTTGTGTGCCGGTGACACGGGGTCACAGAATGTAAGATCCTCCCTCTCATTGTGCTCTGAACGAGCGGCTCCAGCTGCTGGTGGAAGTCCTCTGCAGACGTCCTTCACATCAGGACTCTCACTGCCTCAACCAAAGAGATCAGCAGCAGCTTTCCTCTAACTTTTCATTACTCGGCCGCTCACAGAGCAGGACAGGAGAGTTCATGCCGAGTCTGGACATGTGGTAATCATCCTGTCTTTGCGCAACAGCGAGTGTTACAAGGTACCGCTGGCCTGGATATGAGGAAATCCCCTTATGGAACATTTGATGTGTGATCTGCGGAGGATCAGTTCGCGTCCAAAGGATCAGGGTTTAATGCAGATCAGGGTGTGAGCGGGGACAGTGTGTCAGGGATGCTGGTGATGGAGGCGACACAGCTCCTCAGTCCCAGCTCCCCTCAGGTATGACCCAGACCCTGACCCCCTCCTGGAGCTCTCTGGACAGGTGGGTGTGTTGTACTTTTGTTGAACCAGAGAAGAGGATACTGATTGAAAATGTGTTAACAGTGAGACACGTTGACCAGCAGCTGTGTTTAACACTCTGAGTGGTATCAGTCTTCTCACTGAACTCTCAGCAAGAAAGTGTATCCCCCAAAATGTAGGGCGGGGTGATGAGGCCACAAATTATAATGAGATACAATTTCAGTTATGACAAATGTTTTATTGCGTAAATATTATTTCTCCTGAGTGAAGGTTTCAAAATCTTCTTTATTAGCAGAGAACGACAATGTGTTAAACCACCTCACTGTGCTCACACAATGCATAACCATTACATTGATATATATTATATTGCGAGAATAATCAGTATTTCATGAGTATTTTCATTTTGAATTGTGCTGAAAACATTGATAAGAAACATTTGGATGACTGTGGTGCCTACTGCACCTTACTCTATGAGGCAGGAGACCAGCCATGTATTCATTGATGGGGAAACTTAACTTTACAGTAGTCTACTACTATCAGTAGTGAATTAGTGATAAATAATGAAAAAGTTGGAAATGTCCCTACATTACTGTTTCTTCAACAGTGGACATGCAACAGATTATAGTTCATTTGCTTCATTACATGATCTGAACTTGCAGTAGTGAAGGAAAAGAAAACACTGTTGATTTGTCCATTGAACAAACTCACTCTCTATTATCCAAGCTTTTATTTATCTTTCTATTTATTACCCTCCTCAAGGAGGTCAGGTTTTCGTCTGTGTTTTGGTGCAGATCCAGATCAGCTGGCACATCCAGGGATTTCTTTTCACTCCAATTTTTCGACATTGTCCTTTTTTTCTCAGAGAATAATTAATGAATCTCTATAAAAAAATAACCCGACATGTTTAGGAGACTGATATTCATGAATGTGTCTAATTTAGTGCATTTCCAAATCAGATAAAATCTGGATCCAGTGAATTGTAAATGTGGTTTCTTCAGGGAACTGTTTCAGAGGAATGCTCTTGTGGTACCACTTGTTTATAAGAGTTGCCCCGTGACTTTTCTCCCTGATGAAACTTAAACCTGTAATTACAGTAGATCTCTGCAGCCTTACCTGGAGGATATGGAAGCTAAATGATGTGGGTGTGATGGATTTGTGTGGTCGTGAAGCAATATTTCATTTGGGGTTTTGTGTGGGTTAATATGACGTGCATGCTTGTGGGTGCATGTGCGCACTCATCTAAATAAACACACAAACAAACGTCATCTGGCCTGATATAAGAGCTATGGATATTATTTAAATCAACACTTTACGCCTCTCCTCGTCTCCTGCTCTAAGAAGACCCAGTTTCTCTCTTTTCCCAAACCTGTCTTCTTTCTGGGAAATTTCTTTCTGGAAGGACAACAGTCAGGGCCACGCCACCCCCTCCCTGCCCCAGCGCAGCCTTAAAAGGCCTCTCCAGCTGGCCTCTGTCTTCATGATGAGTGCTGAGTGTTTATTACTGAGTGTCCTGTTCTCCAAACAGTTTCCCTGTCATGGCCTCCTTCTCCTCCTCCACGCTGCCTGGTCCAGGGGAAAAAAGGGACCGGGATGCAAACAATGAATGAGAAATTCAATGAGAAACACACAACGCACACAGAGACAGCCATGACAGGTCAACTACTCTAACATCTGCTTCTTACTACTTACTGCAGAGAGCAGTAGGTTGTGTTACGAAACATGATGGTATTCAAGAGAGAATAAATACGAAAAGGGAGCTGAATTGACGGGGATTTCCTTGTCTGAGATGTAGACATGTTACGTAAGAGATTGTTCTCTAAATCAACTGATCTGCATTTGATTAAATCCTGACCCATATCGCGTCCTGACTCCTCAGTATCAAATCACTTCTCTGCATCTGGAAAGTTTAAGCTGATTTGTGCTTTTGAAATAGTTTTTTTTCTGTGTGTTGTCAAGGGTTATTAGTTTCCATTCACCTCACATGCCCCATTCAGTCTGAGTGTACACATGTGTCCGATGAAGCTGTTTGTGTGTGTTTGTGTGTTAGCGAGAGAGACAGAGAAAGAGAGGGAACGAAATCAGGAAGAGCTGGGATATGAATGAATGTGCAGCTATGAAAGATTTTACTCATTTAAGAAAAGTATCGACTTCAAACTAATTGGCTTTTAAATGGCAGCAGGTCAGATACGTCTGCTGGGACTGTGTCAGTGTGTGTGTGTGTGTGTGTGTGTGTGTCCCTCAAAATCATACAGAAGGTACACATTTGGGTTATAGTAATCAACTGCTTATAGTGATCAATCTGGCTCTGGACAAATGTGATGACTGTATTATTATTATTCAACAACCAGCTGAGGTCAGTCAACTAAGCAGGGATTCAATCCATCTGAGACTATTCAGCATTTGAATGGATTAAATCAAATAGTCTTCTACACAAATATAAAATTACAGTTGTAATTCATACGTTTTCCTCTACTTCTTGATTGCCTTCTGCCACATGTTTACTTTCTCATTAATCTGACGCCTTTCGATTTGACATATCTACTTACATGAGTCCATCCTCTCCGCAGGGGTACGGCCGACTGGTTTGGCGTGAGCAAAGACAGCGACAGCACCCAGCGATGGAGGAGGAAGAGCCTGCAGCACTGCAGCCATCTGTACGGAGGCCTGAAGGCTCAGGTGATGAGGGAAATGGAGCTCCACAGCCAGGACAACCTCTCCCTGGCCAGCACTGAGACCCCTCCTCCCCTCTACCTCCCTCCCCTCCACCCCAGTCACCACCACTATGGCATGCAGAGGGTAGGCCAGCGCCTTGGGGGAATAAATGGGACAATTCACTTGTTTCACTTCACTCTCGTTCTTCATCCTGCTGTAGATTTATGGCGCTCGCTTTACCTCTTTGCTTTGTCATCTTGCCTAGGGTTAGATTGATGGATTTTTGAAGACTAGTATGTGAAGCTATAGTTTTTTGTGAACATATCTTAGAATGTTCCAATGTTTCAAACTCACTTAATATCACAGGGTTTCCACAGGGTCTTAAAAAGTCTAAAATTTAAAATCTTAACATTAATTTAAAGCCATTTTCTAAAGAGAATTGTCTCTGTAGCATTCATAGTTTGTAATGTCTGCTGTATTTCTTTCATCAATCTAACCCTAGTTAAGATGTGTGTGTTACGTGCATCATTCCTACTGTCCACTGTTCTTACGCTATACGCTTACTTTTGTATATGTGGCTTGCCTGTGTGTGTGCAGATCGTAGACCCCCTGGCCCGGGGTCGTGCCTTCCGCATGGTGGAAGAGGTCGACGGCTTCAGTGTCCCGCAAACTCCCCTCACACCTGGCACCGCCTCCCTCTGCTCCTTCTCGAGCTCCCGCTCGGCCCTCAACCGGTTGCCGCGAAGACGCAAACGGGAGTCTGTTGCTGTCATGAGTCTCAAGGCTGCTGCAGCTCTAATGAAGGTGTTTTTTTTCTCACAACAGAATTTATTATAGTTATATAATAATAATAGTAATCATTTATTTTCTATCACTCAGTGTTCTCTGCTTTACCAAATCTGTGCTTCAGACTCTTTCAAGCTACCGTCAACCCCAGTTTACCTGAAATCCAAATTAACTTAAAGGTTCAGCTGTAACATGACATTTCACCACTAGATGTCACTAAATTCTACACACTGAACCTTTAATGCATATTAGGAACAGGTATTTCTTACATTATTAGCTCACAGCAGTACATCCACGTCTACGTCTATCAAAGGAGACTGGGCTTAGAATATATTAAAACATACTGTACCTCCACCGAGGATGGTAGCTGAAAGGAATATTTGTTACCGTACAGTAAATATCTGCTTCTTAAAATACTTATTTTGATTCACAAAATCTGGGTCATTACCTGGTTATATATTCACATTGGTTCTCTACAGAGGCCTTTTTTTTAAATAAAGATCAATGCTTTATTTCTTGAGAAATTTTAAAAACACTTTATCTCACAATGTAAAATAAACCAGAAAAGAAAATCCAGGATTGGCCTCCTCATCTGGATCTTCATCGAAATGAATGTTTTCCTCCCTGAACCGCTCCGCATGCTTCCGCCAAGTTTCACATGATCTTGTTAAAAAACAAACAAACAGACAGACGAGTGAAAAATAACCTCCATGGGGAAGGAAATAAATAAATACCACAATATACAAAATTATAATAAATTATTTTTCAGTGCTTTGTGACAAATCTTTAAAAGACCAATAATATAGTACAACTGCAGTTTACACAGTACAGTAGTTGCATCATGCACACACACACACACACAAAAACATAAACAGACACACACATACACACATTTAATCTCCATCATTTTATGTTTTTGTGAAGCGAGTATTCGAAAAACTCCCTCCATTGTATTTCGATGTGTCCTGGTCTCCTGCACAGGATTTATCTCTGAGTTTATCTGTGTATTTATGCGTGTGTGTATTTAAGCGGATGTGTGTCGGCATGTTATGCAATACATGAGATCCCCCGTCGCGTTGTGGATTAAACTCTTTACAGTAATGTGCAGATGACGCTCTGTGTGGCTCCCCGGCTGCAGATCTACACAAATAAAGGGATGAATGATGTGTGTGTTGAGTGAAGAGAGGAGGGGGAGACTCGCTAGCAGATGGTCCATGAAGTTACACCGCGATGCTCAGATATCTGCTGGATTGCGGTCAGAATATTCCAGATGTGCAGAGCTAATCCAGCGACACACAGGGGGGTCACTGCTGCATAGTCATTAACCCAAGAGGCACACACCACCGGGTTTCCTCCAGATAAACTGTCAGGATCAGGAAACACTCTCTTCTTCAACACCACTGCTGAGAGCCCTAGCTAAAATCATATTGACTTTGGTCTCATGTGCTCTCAGTTCAGTACAGAGAATATCACTATACATCAGTCTGATGTCAGTAGATGATGATGTTTGAGTGTGTATTTCAACCAGGAGAGACTTCAATTGAAATATGAAGATAATGTTAGACTCTGTAAAACTCCCTTGTAATCTTGGTTGTATCGGGGTTAGACCCTGGTCCAGATCCTGATGGTGGTTGGGATGTTATGTAGAGATGCTGCAGATCTGAATAAGATGATGTCTGGACTACAGGGTATGTTGAGTGGAGGTGATCAGGGAGGAGGAGGGTAATTGGCTAATTGACATCTTGTCAAAATCTTATTGGATCACTGAAGCCTCCGACAGCCAGCTGATTAGAAGTGAACCGGAGGGTGAGAGAGAATTGTGAATGAATGGATACTGCTTGAACTTGAGCTAAGCTTCTTTTCTGTTCATCAGGGCCGGACGTTAGGGGACAGCACCGCCGGGCGTCATCGAAGACGGAGTTTCATGCCTCCTAGTTTCTATGAAGACGACACTGTGGACCTTTCTGATGATCTGGACACTTCCTTCTTCACCAGAGTGAGCAGTCGACACACGTCCACACTCTATCAGGCCAATCCACCTGAATTAACAAAATAAATCTCTTCCATTTGTCTTAAAGCATTTCATGAGCAGCTGGCCTTCATGTCCTACAGCCTGGAGTCATGTTTTTATGTAGCTTGGTTGTAGAAGAGGCTTTCGTCTTTTATGTGGTTTTTACAAATTTGATTTTCATTTTCAGAGTCGATGAGTTAGCATATAAAGTAAAGCTAGTACAGATTGTGAAGTGTTGACTCCTGCAGCCACAAACATTTTACTCCCACTAGACCATCCAGGTCTATTTAGAAATTATCTCCGAGCATCAATATGAGCATCTGCATGTTTCTTTAAGCTTGCTTTTTGGTAGTTTGACCACAAGTGGGCAGTATAGAGTGATGTGCAATATGCTCTGACATCTTCACTCCGTCTGTTCACTCGCTAAACAACAAAGTTGTTTCTTCAGGTAAAAGAAAGTTTTTACACCCAACCAGTGGATGTTTTTATTCCATGCACAGTCTTGTGGTCTAAGCATGTTGCTATATGTACTATATGTACTGTGGTTTTATCAAATTCAGTTAATTTATGTCATTCCAGCCATATCTGTAAAACATACAGTGGAAGGAAGTTTGTTCCTCAGGACCAGTGTGCACGTACAGTTAAAAGACATTTTTTTTAATTTGCTCTTGCTGTGTCATCTTTCACAAAGAGCATATTCTGAGTTTGTCGGATTAGAATTCCCTCTCACTCAGTTCTGATGTTTGCAGGACGGTCTGCAGGATGAGTTGTCCAGTTATGCAGATGAGGTTTTCGAATCACCGTCAGAGGCTGAACTCAAACAGCTGGATGAGAGCGAGCTCACAGGAAGTGCCCTGGATAAGAATGAGCTGGAGAGGACTCACCTCATGCTGTGAGTTTATATTTCTTTACAGATTCTTTCATATGCACACAAGCCTCTTGTATCCCAAACATTTCCAGCACTTCAAAATTGTCTCTTCTGTGTTCCTATTCCTCTATCCAGGCCTTTGGAGCGAGGATGGCGCAAAGGGAAAGACGTCTCTCTGGTCCAACCTAAAATGCGTCTGAAACAGGAAGTTGTAAGTGTCAACAGCCATCAACAGCGCGGACAACGGATTGTGATTCCGGTTAAGAAGCTGTTTGCCCGAGAGAAGAGGCCGTACGGGCTCGGCATGGTTGGACGTCTCACAAACCGGACCTACCGTAAGCGCATTGACAGCTTTGTCAAGAGGCAGATTGAAGACATGGATGATCACAGGTGAAGAAGCTGATTCTACTTTTAATCAGATGATTATATTTTGTTTAGTCCAGGAAATAGAGCCTGACAAACGTTTTCCTTACTTTCCAGGCCTTTCTTTACCTACTGGATCACATCCGTCCATTTGCTCATCACCATTCTGGCTGTGACTATCTACGGCATCGCCCCTGTGGGCTTCTCACAACATGAAACTGTTGATTCTGTAAGTGTAGCTACAGAGTTTTGGATGAATTTGTCTGTGAATTTGTGTTGAATTCCCTTTAGAAATGGACGACTGTGTAACAGAAGTAACTATTTTCAGGTGTTGAGGAACAAAGGAGTTTATGAAAATGTGAAGTTTGTGCAACAACAAAACTTCTGGGTCGGACCGAGCTCAGTAAGTATTTTCAATGTTTTATTTATTTATTTACCACCTTCATTGGTGGAGGTCTGAACTCTGCTGAGTGTCATTCTTATTGATTATGCTTTACTCAGCTCTTAATGGTTAAAAAAACCCATATTTGAATTAGACAGTTAACAATAGAAGTACTGTAATGTCTCTCCCTGCTGCCTACAGGAGGCGCTGATCCACCTAGGAGCCAAGTTTTCCCCGTGCATGCGTCGGGACCAAGAGATCCAGAAACTGATGCAGGAAAAGAGAGCGAGAGAGAGCGAGTCAGGCTGCTGTGTGAGGAACGATCGCTCCGGCTGCCTGCAGACGTTACAGGAAGAGTGTTCGGTCAGCGAAACACGGAATCAAAATCTGTCTTTGGGGAAATTCTGTTAATGCAAACTTGTATCACAGCATATCAGATAAACTCTCAAAAATAAAAGATGCACAACATTTAACAGTCCAAAAATAGCACTCATTGAACTTCATCAGTTCTTGTTGCTGCATTAACCTGAAGGAGCCACTGCACAAAGTGACGTGTTCAGTTAACTGTTTATAATCTTTTAAACATGCTTCTGTCCGTGTTCTACTGCAGAGCACCCTGGCAGTGTGGGTGAAGTGGCCTCAGCACCCCAGTGCTCCCTATCTGAATGGTGAGCTTCGCCAGCATGGTGCAGTCTGCCATCAGGACCCCAGGTGATTTAAAAACACTCTCTGTTTGTGTGATCATATAATGATCTTATACAACAGGTTGTCATTAGTTCTCAGTGTTTTGACTCAGTCGATCTGTTAGAAAACAGAATTATTCACTGTCTTTTATTTCGTAGAATTTGTCTGGAGCCAGCCTCAGTTTCACCTCATGAGTGGCCTGATGACATCACCAAGTGGCCAGTGAGTGCAATTACATTCATGAATGAATAAGAGAATGTGTGGTGATAAAATCTGATTCTTTTTATGTTATATATATATAAGAAAAACAACTAAGGTTGGTGAAAAGCCTGAGATAACATGTGAGTCTCCAGTTTAACCTTAAATGTGAGAGGCTGCATTCTCCACTGGCTACAGGTGGGACAGGGATGACAGGCTAATGTCCAATAATCCAGTCAATCCATGTCCTCTCCCTGAATCTAATTCTGACATTATTTTAAATATAAGGAATTGAAAGAACATTCTGATTCTACACTTTTCCTGTGGTTGCGATCTGTAGGTTTGCACGAGGTACAACTCCGGGAATCACACCAACCTCCCCCACATAGACTGCACCATCACAGGCCGGCCGTGCTGCATCGGAACCAAAGGACGGTACGGATCAATGTCCCTGTGACTCTGAGCCATCATCACTGATCTGTTTGCATATGTACCACAATCATCTACCTCTACTTTGGCTACTTGCATGATTAAATATCACATGATGTGTTCTCACCTCTCTCAATGAAATCTGAATTAAATTTTTTCTATGAAGCTAATGAGGTGTTGTGTTGTAGGTGTGAAATCACTTCCAGAGAGTATTGTGACTTTATGCACGGCTACTTCCATGGAGAGGCTACTCTCTGCTCACAGGTGGGACAAACAAATTACAGTAGAAATTATAAATATATTTATAACATTTTTTTTTTTTTTACTCTAACACACTTTGTCAACATTTTAATATTCTTGCTAATTCCGGTCAGTTTTTCGGAGGGTATCTCTGATGAATAGATCCATGTAAAACAGTCCTGCTCCAGCTGAAGCTTGGACTCACGACCTCGGCTTTGCTCCGCAGGTCATTTTCTTATGTGCTGACTGCGTGCACCGCTGCAGCCAGTTAGTGTGCTGTGAATTTCAGGACTTTAGACTTTATTCAACACTTTCATTTTCCTCCACAGGGTGGCAGTGAATGTCCACCTCTGACTTTCCCCTGACTCTCTCCTTCTCCTCCAGGTGGCCTGCATGGATGATGTGTGTGGTTTGCTGCCTTTTCTCAACCCAGAGATCCCAGACCAGTTTTCCAGACTCTGGCTGTCTCTCTTTCTTCATGCAGGGTGACTGAATCCCTCCCTTTTTTTGTCCATCTCAGAATAAACCCCAGCATATATGAAAAATAGAACATTTTTTGAAACTGTGAAATAGTGGCACCTGTCTTCTGCCATTCTCTCTGTCTATTGTACCTCAGCTGTGCTCTCGATAAAGGCAAAAAGCCCCCAAAATAGAGAAAGAATAAGAAATATCAATTGTTGGGGTCAACGTCAAAAATAAGTTGCTGACTGTTTGTCTGTGTGTATCTGCAGCATCCTGCACTGCCTGGTGTCAGTGTTGTTCCAGATGACGGTGCTGAGGGACATAGAGAAGCTGGCTGGCTGGCTGAGAATCTCCATCATCTACATGCTCAGTGGCATCACTGGAAACTTGGCCTCAGCCATCTTTCTGCCTTACAGAGCAGAGGTACAGTGTCACCATCAAAACAAAACTGTATAAGCTACTGCAACTTCTGATGTAGTTTTCAATATTAAACTAATGGCACTCAGAAGAGCACATACTGTCGCCAAGCCCCAACAGTCCCCTTATGAAACCACGTTAAAACTCTCTAGATCCAGATTTGTATTTGTATCTGCACCAATGAATATTAGTCTCCTAAACATGTCTGATATTTTTATCTGAGAAATCTAAAAAAAGCCCTGCAATATTAAAGAAAGTGAAAGCCACACCTAAATTTACCGTCCAGAAATCCTGCTTAATAATGGACAAACACAGACGAAAAAACAGAACCTGGTTTAATTTGAATAAAATATTAAAAGATAGCGCAGTTGAGGGGGTTTTAAAGTACAGTCCATGATGGTGCGAGTAGTTTGACTGGGAGCAGACCTGTTTGCTGCAGGAATACATCTCCTTTACACACTGAAGGTGAATCAGACCTGTGGCTGAGGTGGAAGCTGCCCAGTGCTGTGATGATGTACTCCACTGGGACAAGTGTGTGTACTGCTTTATCAGTCCCTTCCTGTCAGTTGAAATGCTGCTAAGAAGTGCGTCACGAACAGGATTCGAACCTGTGCGGGGAAACCCCATTGGATTTCGAGTCCAACGCCTTAACCTCTCGGCCACCGTGACATATATACTGTAATCTGTAATAAACACATGTCGACCTAGACAGTTATGATGGGTAGAGTCTGTATATGCACTAAGTGGTACAGGATGATCACATGGTATGAGCTGAATGAATAAAAAAAGATGTTAGTCAGTGGGTCTGTGTGTTCATTTACATCAGCCTCTCGATTACAAACTTACTGGGATGCTTGTAATACAAACATTTGGAAAACCTTTATTTGTACATATTCATATGTGGAAGCTCCGCGTGTGTTCACCTTCCTTCCATTATTGCCACTCACATATAAAGAACTTAAACGTCCCTCCTCTCACTGGCACATGTCCAGGCTGGTCCTGCTGATCAGTCTCTTCCTTGAAATGCTGCAGATTCATAGAAGATGCTGATGCCGTCTAAAGATGTGCGTCACGAACAGGATTCGAACCTGTGCGGGGAAACCCCATTGGATTTCGAGTCCAACGCCTTAACCTCTCGGCCACCGTGACATATATCTTTTTGCTAATCTTGGGTTAAGACTTTAAAACTTAACATTTACACAGAACACCAGAGGTCTGAGGTCAGGGACTAGTGTACCTGATGACCTGAGTGACATTGAACACAGATTTCATTAAGTGGATCTGTGTAACATCTCTGTCTCCCCTGTGTTCACCTCAGGTGGGTCCGGCAGGCAGCCAGTTCGGTATCCTGGCCTGTCTGTTCGTGGAGCTGTTTCAGAGCTGGCAGATCCTCGAGCGACCCTGGTGGGCGTTCGCCAAGCTGTTGGCCATCTCAGTCTTCTTCTTCTCCTTCGGTTTGCTGCCTTGGATCGACAACTTTGCGCACATCTGCGGCTTCATATCGGGATTCTTCCTGTCCTTTGCCTTCCTGCCATACATCAGGTAGGTGAAGAAAAGGGAAAAACTGCAGTAACTTGCTCTTTCACCTTCATTATGTGATGAATATTGCTCTGTGGATTATTTTTTCAGTTTTGGGCCTTCTGACATGTACCGCAAGCGAGTCCAGATCTGCATCTTCCTGCTGGTCTTCCTCGCCCTGCTCGCCGCCTTGGCCGTTCTCTTCTACGTCTACCCCATGAAGTGTGACTGGTGCGAGTACCTCACCTGCATCCCTATCACTGACAAGTTCTGTGAGAAGTATGACCTGAACGCCCACCTCCTCTGAACGACACGCTTGGTTTGCTACAGCAACCTGTGACAGAGCAGGAACATTTCTCCTGGAATAACAACCATCATTTCAGGATACTATGTGGAGGTATGAATTCTAAACGTATTTGTTGCACAGTTTCGACAACAGATCCACCAATAATAAGACCTATGCATGAAAGCCTGACTTCAAATATTCATGTACATGGGAGCAAAACACGACTGAAAAGGTGTAACGGTTGATTAATGTGTGACTGTTCTCTAGCTGGGCTAATCACTGACCAGTCACACATGGAGGGGGGGGGGGTATACAGGCCACTATTCCTTGCCAAATAATTTACCTCTCTTCTTACGGGACTCAACAGCACCCCTCAGTGGCCAAAAGGAACCTCACACCCTGCCATGGCTGCAGAGGAGGAGTTGAGGTACTCCAACTTTGTTCTTTTTTTTTTTATTGTCCTAACAGTTTAATCCATTTATTGGATTTTTCTTTGAGACTCTGAATGTGCCTTATTGACACACAACCACACACATACACACATGTTGTTTTGTGCCATGTGTCATGTGCCATGTGTTTGTGTCAGCGGTTTCTGGCATTACAGGTCGGACTAATTTAGCTCTGTCGAACCAGTTTTTAACAATCAAGACAAAATCATGTATAATATGTGTTTACACAGCCCTTAATGCACTTCTGTCACAGATGGATTGTTTTTTATATTCACCCTGTGTCTCAAAAGCCAGTGCAGAGGTGAATTTTTCTTTTCTTTTATTGAAAGTGGTTGCGTTTTAGCTACCTGACAATAAAGACAACAAGACACAGACTTTGGCTCTTTTTTCTGTTTGTGTGTTATCTATATGTGGAGAAAATTAAACCACACTGCTCCAGATGATGCTTGAGTTCAAAACCTCAGCATCACTGTGCAGGTTATTGTATATTACCATTACAACCCACTGCCTGACTGTCTCACTGGAGCCCGTAAACCACTCACTACACCAGTTATTTATTTTAATCAATATATTTCGTTAAAATCTAAAATAAAGAACCAAAATGAAATGAATTAGTTTTGTGTGGTTGAACTATATTTAATGTTAACGGCATGTTCAGTGTCTATATTGTCTTCAGAAAAGCTCCAGTGGCGCAATCGGTCAGCGCGCGGTACTTATAAGACAGTGACCTGCAGAGTGATGCCGAGGTTGTGAGTTCGACCCTCACCTGGAGCAGTGAGTTTTTATCATAATGGTCAGGGACTGTGGAAATAACCCACTCTGACTGATTCATGACAAGACACATCCATTATCTGCTCTGTAGCACTGACCTTAGCTTTCATCCAGCAGCTTCCAATATGTTTTCAAAAGAACAGGCGATCTACTGTTCTTTGTACACGTCACACTTTAAAATAATCAGGTCATTTACACTTTTGGAACTTTTTTAAGTGTTGCACAGAGTTTCTTGAAGACAAATTCCTAATAAACCCTCCTGTTTCTTCCATAGAAACTACCTGGATTCTCCTTCTGATGTTTTCTTTACTTGTGAGCAACTATAAGACTTTTCACTGAATTTATCAGTCTGAAAGTTTTTTTTTGGGAGGGGGTGCCCACTAGATGGCAGGACAGGACCTATAACTTACAATAGTACATCAGGGTTGCAGCTCAGGGTATATAGCTGCAATAAAAACAACATCCTGGTGTTGTTCTTGTGTTGTTCTGTGGGATTTGAATGTCATTAATTCAAGCAGGAGGTTTATTAGCGTGCAGAACTCTTATTGATGCCCCTGATGCTCCCTGTGTGCTGTACCACTGGGTTTGTTCATCCTGCCGCTCCCCCTCCTCTGAGTGCACACACACACACACACCACCCTGAATTCATTATGTCTTGTCTGTAATTGAGACTAAATAAGTGTGTACTCATGTTAGAGAGGAGCTCTGAGAGGCTGAACAGCACTCATCTGCATACCAAATACAACAGTAAAACTTCTGTTTGCACTTAGTGCTGCATTAACTTGAATTTGATTTAGTAATTATATATAATGTATCCCCCAAAGTCCATACTGTTAAAATACAATCAGCAAAATGAAATGTATATAGGCTATAAGGCTTGAAAGGTAATTCCCATATAGAGCTTCTACAAGTGGTCCAATTGTTGTCGATTGTCAAACTATGTGACATTTGTGGTCGTCTGTTTATTTGGGGGGCACTTAGTATTTCTGCACAACTTTTTTCACTGATGTTTTTGGGAAATTTCCAATTGAAGAAAATCTGAGTAAACACGTAGGAGGTGGGACTTATGACCTTTACTGCAGCCAGCCACCAGGTGGCAATCGAGACCCTTTGGCTTCACTTTTGAGGAGCAGTCACATCATGTATTTTTACATAACATAGAGGTTCTTAATCAACTAGTTAATTTGTTTTGTTTTTTCAGCCTTACTCTCGAACCTTTTGAAATGCATACACAGGCTCCAGTGGCGCAATCGGTCAGCGCGCAGTACTTATAAGACAGTGACCTGCAGAATGATGCTGAGGTTGTGAGTTCGACCCTCACCTGGAGCAGTATGGTTTTACCCTGGTGGTGGTTGGGCAGTGACTGATCACAAGACATTTTCAGTCCTTCACTTCAGTCAGTAGCTACCTTGATTAAAGATACAGCATATTGTTAAACCTTCAAACTATAACTATAATAACTTTGCACTGTCCATAATAATGTTTCACAGGCACAATTCACTGAAGACGCCACCGACTGAGTTCATGACTTTTGTTTTGCTCATCAAAAAAGCAAAACATTTCACTTTCCTTCTCCTTCCATGTTAAATGTATATTTGTCAGGCTCCAGTGGCGCTCTCAGTGGCCTGCAGAGTGATGCCGTGGTTGTGTGTTCAGGGCAATGTTATAACAGTAGCAGGAGACAATGGAAATATCTGCCTTTGTATTGGCGCATCCTGCTACGTTCAACCTTGTCATTTGGTGCTGGCTAACTACTCTACAGGTAGAAATGATATTTACTGTGAGTCAATTGAAACAGTAAAACTGTAATCATGTGACTCCTTTCACATTGAGGCTTTGTCAATTTATTTATTTTATATTATAAAAATATCTATTGTACTAGCTTTAAGGGAGATTTAGATCTAGATCTTCATGGTTACATATATAGGCCTATGTGGGTTGCTGCTCTCCGCCCATTTTCCCGCTTTTGTCATAAAAGCTGGCGGAGCAGCGAATACTGACAAAATAATGACCCTGCCAACTCACCGATCCTGGAAAATCATCTCGGGACTCGTCTTATTCTGTCATCTAGTGGGTGCTTGGCCTAATAGAGGCAGCACCAAGAGCCATTAGACCCCCTCCCCCCACTCACTGCCACCCCCATCCCCTGCAGACTCCTCATAGGAAATTATATCTCCCCTCTCCTCTCACCCCCCTCGCCCACTTGTCTTCTCCCTTCCCTACTCCAATCCACCTCCACCCGTCACGTCTTCCTACTCCCTCGCCCCCTGTCCATTTCATGCCTCCCTATTTCCATCACTCATTCATCATTTGGTTCCCCCCCCCCCCACACGCCTCTCCATCATGGCTTCTATAGAGATGGAAATGTGTCATGAAGAGGATGGTATCTACGAGCCATTGATCAGCATCAAACGAGACACACTTAGATACCACACAGTCCTCCTCAACTCATCACGTCTTTTAATTGATGGTTGAAAATTAAACAGTTCAGAAAAAATAGATAGATAGATAGATAGATAGATAGATATGTGTTGTGTCTGCCTCGAAAGGCGACCCTGAAATGGGACCCTGACAGCTGGCCAACAGGTGGTCACTGACAGACCCTCTCTCTTCATTGTGCTTGGAACAACCAAGACACACACACACACCTGATGGCCTGGGTGCTGAGTCTGAGGAGTGTGTGTGTGTGTGTGTGTGTGT